GCTCTTCCGGGGCAGGAACCTGTCTGTCCCATTTTATCTGCACAACCCCTTCTCTTACAAACACTGCCCCCTTGCCTGGCCTATCGAGACGGATTTGGAGTGGCGCTTCCGGGAAAACGGGAGTCGCCATCTCCCTGACTTTGGACGGACATCTTTTCTTCTCTGCGTCCAGCGGCGCCACTTGGAGAAGCCCGCTAAACTCTGCAGCATAGAAACTGAGGAAAAATTGCACTACTGATTCCGGATCAGGATTTCTGCCCAGATGGCTGCGTGCGTACCGGGGGAACCGGAGGACATGTTCACGGCTTTGGCCGTCTTCCCCTGCTGGACTGGCGTGCGTTTCCCAGAGAGCAGCTTCAAGGGCAGCTTTGTAGCTCCATCATGAACCCGCCCGAGGGGGCGCCAAGCTTGACTTCTAACTGGAGCCGAAGATCCGGAACGACCGTTCTCATATACCCCCTTACGTTCTAAGGGACGCTTACTAGTTTGATTTTGTTTTTCAGCGAACTTTGTCCTTAAAGATGACCACTTCTGACTGGAATCGAGGGACTCTGATGAAGTGAACATTGGCGGGGGGGGGGGGGGGGATTGGATGGATTTGTTTTAACTGCCTCCTTTCACAACAGTGCCTTAAACCCTCTGAGGGAACGTGTCTTCGAAATGAGCAAAAATGCGCTCAGAAGGAGGGCTAAGCACAACCATGGCAAATGCTTTTCCCGCTTCCCCTACAGACAGGCGTTCCTCACTGCCGTCGTGGGACGGGGTCAGACCCATTCGGAAGCCAGGCCAAGGGGTCACCACATTCCCAGCGCCATGTTCCCTGGCACTGGCTTTGTGCGTGGCTCTCTGAGGTAACAAGGCCCCGCTCCAAGCTGGGGGCGGGGGAGGCGTAGTGACTTCTGCCACCATCTCCACGTCCCGGGCAGAGGTGAAGGAACCAAGCCAGCTTCCAGTCAGCTGACGAACGTCAGTTGCCTTATCTCCCCTTTTCGTCTCAGCGATTCCCTTCGCGCACAAGCGGCGGAACCTTTTGCCGCCTGTCCAGGCTGTCACCTGACAGGCCTAAACCCCACAGAGGCCCTCAAACCCTTTTGTGACAGGCGGTAGTTCAACAGGTGTGGTCATTTCCCTCATGGCCGCATTTCACTAAGCAGGGGTTGGGGGCGGGAGTGGGGGGGAGCGATCCACAATGGCGAACAATTTCCCCACCACCACCCTGTTAGCGAAGCTGCTGACGACACAGAGTTCCACTCAGGAAACAAAGGAGGCAAAGTGACCCCCTCCGTCACCTCAGTGAGCACGCCGTGCGACTCGTTTCCGCTTCCTGAGGCGACCGCAAAAAAATCCCTCCATCTTTTCCAGAGTGGGCAGGGACACAAAAATGGTCCCTGGGGGACAACCTGAGCCGACGCCTGCTCCCCCTCCCCAGGTTGTTCAGAGAGGCAACCTTGGTCCGGCTTGTTCTTGGCCATCTTTTAGGGTACCACCACTCCCTCCTGGTGTTTTCCCTGTAAATTAAAAGCCCCCGTCCCCTCCTGTGTCCTTTCCCTATGAAACCCCCCCTCAGGGTACCTTCAGTGGCTTCAAGGGGAGAGCCACCTTTTGGCCCCACTCTTCCAAGTTTCCCCTCCACTTTCAGCGTAGCTGGAGGAGCTAGAGAGGACCTCCCCCTCGGGGTGAACAGAGAGGGTCATGCAAGGTGTCCAGGGTTTGGGAGAGGAGAGGAGGCCCGTCTCCGTGGGCTTTTCCAGTTTGATTTGAACGGCTTGTTTACTGTGTAAGCAAGGATCGGGGAGAGACTCCTGTCGTTCAGAAGGGAGACTTGTACAGAAATAAAATAGCTCGACAAACTCACTGGGTTCCACGTGCATTCCTGGTGTTGCGTGCTTGCGCCTTCGAAGCGCTGCCCGTTAGTTTTGTTTCTGGGGTTTTCTGATGTCTCAGTTGTGGCAGGAAGTGCCCGCACACATACACGGGGGATCTGTGAATAACAAACTTGTGGCACCTTAAGAATGTCCGATGTCTTCTGTTTTGTGAGTCCAAACCCACTTCGTCAAATGCATGAAGTGTTCTCCTCACTAGGCAGGTATAGATATATACACGTAAGGCCATAAGATATTGCCAACAATTTTTCGATGGAAATGCCTAGTTTAATTTTATGTTTAAGATTTTATAAGGGGTGCTTGGCTGAATTGTATACCCTGTCTGTTTTATGGCTTTGGTGGTGATTTTGATGGGTCTTTGACCATATTAAACATGATACTTGGTATACACACACACGCACAAAGGATAAACAGAAGATGTGGGAGATGGGCAAACTAGGCTATTTTGACCAGCGGTAATAATAAATAAATAATAATAAATAATAA